CAAAAGCCCTATGGGGGCATCTCTTTCTTACCACACAACCTTACCATCGCCAGCTGTGATCTTGCAGAATTGGAGTACCACGTGCAGAAGTCCAGAGGCGGAAGAAGCGGTACCATTTCCACCCTGGAAGAGCGCCCAAGTCTAAGATAACTTTAAGGCACTGTGGGCTCAAAGAATCTTGCCATACTCTGCCAGTTCCGGACAGCCCCGCCTTCTCTGCCAGGCGCTGACTCCTCCACAGGCTGATTGTGACATTTGATAATAGTGTCCCTTCCGTAGCTCCTGCTCTCAGCGTGCCACTGTTGGCATTGCCGCCAGCACTTCTGAAGCCTGCCCGTTCGCTTTTCATGGCTCTCTCCCTGGGCAAGCCCCGGTCTCCTAGCTCTGGTCCCCTCTGTCACCCACACCACTCAGAAAAGCTTGAAGGTAGCCTGGCCAGTCTCTTCTCCCAGCCTTTGCTCAAATTCCTAATTCAAAGAGGAAGCACCTCCCCCATCTCATCTGCCCGAGTCAGGTAAATTTATCCATTTCCTTAAAACTCTCCCTCTCCAAAACTGGGGGTGAAGCAGCCTTTTGTTTGGCTGCTGGAGTAATGGGCTAAGTGACAATTCTCAGAATACAATTTTAATTAAGATTCAATAGTCACTTGTCTGTCAGTAATCTTCCGTGCTGATTACTTAAAATATATTTACCCAGTTCTATTATGTCACCCATTTGAATTCATTAGACATTTGCTAATCTTCAACAAACTTATTTTTTTAAATTGTGGTTTGCTTAGCATCATTTGGTAGGGTGAAACTGTTTGAAGGATTGATTGGGTTTTTCTGGCTTCCGGATGCACAGCCCACCTCCCTTGCTTCCTTTACCATCTCAATTGTGTGGCAGAAACAAGTGGAAAAAGTAAGGATGAAGGGACGCAAAAGCTATATAGGCAGACGACTATCCATGCGCCACTGAGGTAGGCTGCAGACTCAGCCTCCCAGCACAGAACTGGCAGGGCTGACTGAGAGGGATCTGGAGGGCCAAGCAGAAGCTGCTGTATGAGCAGTGAGTAGGTAGACAGCCTTGGGTCTGGCTCCAGGGTTCCTGACAAAGGCTGATCATGAAGATTGCCTGCATCTTTGACTAAGCCCTGCCAAGTACGGACCTGGAAGAACTCCTCTGAGCACTCAGAAAGGTAACAGGGAGAGTCCTCCTGTGATTGACAGCCAGAGATGTAGACCCCAGGTAGGTCCTGGGGCAGGGTGCCTGCTCTGCCTCTGCAGTTTGGTGAATAGGTACTGGCTGGGCTGCAGCTGCTCCCAAGCCCTATAAGGAGTCAGACATGTGGCAGATTCAACAGGGACACTTGCAGTGAAGACTGTGAAAAGATGTGAAGTCCTCTGGGAAACTTCAGGAGGGACCAGCAAACCCGACTTCTGCTGGGCCAGGGCTCTTTGCTTCCATCACTCACCTCTGCCATACAGTTAAAGAAGACGGGCCAAGCGAGATGCAAAGGAATGAGTGGGCCATGTGCTAATAAAATTTTATTTACAAAAACAGACAGCAGACAGCAGTAGTTCACACGCTTGATCATTAAGGGAACCCTAATATGGAGGAGGATCATTTGGGAATCTACTGGTAAGTGTGAAATACACACCAGATTTCAGTCTTTATACAAATAAAGAACGTCTCATCGATAGTCACATTGATGACATTGAGATGATGGTGTGGGTGCAATGTAATATTCTCCTAAAATGAACTTTCTCTAATTTCTAAGAGGAGATTATCACTGGAAAGTCTAAAATTGCATTTGACGCCTACTGAGTTTCTGTTGGACAGAGCTGGTCTCAGCACAGCGCCATCTACAGGTGAAATGTGGGAAAGCTGCTGGATTTGCCTTAACAGGCACTAGAAAGAGAGTTGGAATCTGCGAAACCAAACATATGGTTAGAACATACATGGTATGTGTATATAGTATGTATTAGTCAAGTCTCTGTTGCTATGAGAAATCACCATGAGCAAGGAAACACATAGAAGAAAGAGTTTATTTGAGCACATATTCCAGACGGTTGGCAATCCCTGAAGGCAGAGTGAAAGCTTGGCCACAGGAGCGAAAGCCGAGGGCTCAAATCTTGAACCATAAGCACAAATAAAGCAGTCAGCTCCAAATGATGCGACTCTTTAAGCTCAAACCTGCCTCAGTGGCATACTTCAAATGACACCATCAATTGGGGACTAAGTGTTCAAATGCCTAAGACTATGGGGGACATCTCATTCAAACCATCAAGAGGTGTATATGTAAACCACCTGCTGGGAGCTTCCTCTCTGTCTGTGGTACTCAAACCAAGACCTATAAAATCCTACTTCCTTTAAATATTAATAACTTGTTCAAAAACAAAAACAGGGCTTGGGCAATGACTCCGTTGGTAAAGAGCTTGCTATATAAGCAGGGAGGATGACAATTTAGACCCCCAGTACCCAAGTGAAGTCCAGGCAAATGTGTTCTTACACTCCCAGCTCTGGGAGGTGGATACTGAAGAAGATGAAGCTCACTGGCTAGCCCAACAGGTGGGCTCTGGGTCCAGTGGAAGACACTGTTACAAAAAACAAGGTGGAGAGCAATTGAGCAGGACACTCATTGTCGACCTCTAGCCTCCACTCGAGAACACGGGGGCCTGAACACACTATATGGGTGCCTGAACACACATACACGGGGGCCTGAACACACATACATGGGTGCCTGAACACACATACACGGGTGCCTGAACACACTACACGGGTGCCTGAACACACATACATGGGTGCCTGAATACACATACACGGGTGCCTGAACACACATACATGGGTGCCTGAACACACATACACGGGTGCCTGAACACACTACATAGATGCCTGAACACACACACACACGGGTGCCTGAACACACACACAGTGCCTGAACAAACACAGGGTACTTTCACACACACAAGTGCCTACACACACACACACATGTGCCCAGACACACACATACACGGGCACTTGAACACATGAGTGCCTCCATACATGTACACGGGTACCTACACACACACACACACACACACACACACACACACACACACACACGGGAGCCTGAACACACGCGAATGCACACACATGCACAAAGCAAACCAAAAAAAAAAAACCTTAAGCAGCACGAAATCAACCTTAAACCCAGCATTTTCCCCACTGCAGAACATCCCAGTTCTTCTGAACGTGTTAACACGCACAGAGCGTTCACCAGGGTGAGCCAGTGGGCAGCACATCCTGGCTTACTGGCCTCTGAAGCCACTTTCCTGGAACCTAATTAGCACTCGGAGAAGCCAATTTGAGAAAAGCTGGTCTTTAGGAAACTACAACCAGCACACAGGGGTTCTCACAGTCCAACCCAACGGCTTGATTTTAGAACGACACAAAAAAGCACATAATTGTTACTGCATGGGATGGGGTGAAAATTGTAGAATTGGGAGGGGCAAAACCCCCAGGAAATTCCTTTTTCCTACCCTACATGTCCACTCAAGAAAAATACCTACTAATGCTGGACAATGAGAAAGGCTCTGAGCACCCTGAGATGAGAGAGTATGCCCAGAGAGGAAGAGTGCATATGTGTGCATGAGTGTGCATGAGTATGTGTGTGAGTGTGTGTGTGTGTGAGGGTGTCATGGGAACGGGATATCAGGAGAAGCCTCAATGTGTGTGGTGTGTATATGAGGGTGTCATGGGAACGGGATATCAGGAGAGGCCTCAATGAGAAGGTGACTTTTGAACAGTGATTCTAGTAGGTGGTGAGGAAGTTTCCTCCTCACCCAAAGGCAATCATTTGCTTGTAACAGGCACCTCTGAAGCCCATGGAACAGTATGGGCGGCAGAATCCAGGGGGTGGACGAGCACCAGTCAAGTTCTCAAAAGCGCATTCCTTTTCCTTCTTCCCTTTCCTGAGATCAAGAGCTAGCAGCTGAGTGATTTGTCCTCATTGAAGAACCATCAGAGCCAATTCCGCACCAACCCCAGCTGCTCTCAGGGTCGATTTTCTTCCTGGCCACTTCCTTCTCCTTAGGAACGCTAGTCACTTTCATCCATGCTTTCCCTGAACTAACTAACACTGTTCTTCACAAGACAACCGCAGCATGCACTTCATGGTTGAACCACTGATAAGGTATTACCCATTCATTTCTCCACGCACGCATCCAGTAACCCATCTGTATATCTATCCATTCAACCCATCATCCATCTACCCATCCATCCTTACCTCCTCCCATCTACCTAGCCACCTACCCATCCACTCACCTTCCCATCTACCCGTCCATCTCTCCACCTATCCACTCACTCATCCACTAACCCATCCACCCACCTATCCATCTGCCCACCCACCTTCCCACCTATCCATCTACCTATCCATCCATCCATCCATCCATCCACCTGGTCACCCATCCATCCACCCTCCTACGCATCTACCCATCCATCCTTCCCTCCATCCACTCACCCATTTTTTTTATCTATAGACATATCTATCAAATCTATTCATTCAGCCACTTACCCATCCATCTCTCTTTCCTCCATCTGTCCACTTGCTTACCCAGCTAAAATCTAACAACTGATAATCTGTCCACCCACCAACTCAAATTCCAGCTGAGGAAGTATGGTGTTCCAGGTGTCTGGGCACTGTGTAAGGGATTTGGGACAAGACAGTTCATAAAGCAGATGAAAGGTCTGCCATCATGGAACTCTTGTGGCATGTGTTATATAGGAAACAATCCATAAACACAGAGACAGTGGATCAAGTCGTTAGGAGATGACAGCAGCTAAGGTGGAAAAGATAAAGTAGATGTACATTAGAAGACTTAAAAGAAAAAGGATGAGTGTTTGCCTGGGCCCAGCCTGTCTCTGCTGTTCCCTGAGGCCGTGTGGCATTCTTGGTGGGGGGGGGGCAGAAAGTTAACGGAAATCACCTGCTGATCTTGACGCTGTGTCCCTCCTAGGTGCCGAGGTTGAGTGACCAGACCATGGAGACTCTGCTTGGTGGGCTGCTGGCTTTTGGCATGGCGTTTGCTGTGGTCGATGCCTGCCCCAAGTACTGTGTCTGCCAGAACCTGTCTGAGTCACTGGGGACGCTGTGTCCCTCCAAGGGGCTCCTCTTTGTGCCCCCTGACATTGACCGGAGGACAGTGGAGCTGCGCCTGGGTGGCAATTTCATCATCCACATTGGCCGCCAGGACTTTGCCAATATGACGGGATTGGTGGATCTGACCTTGTCTAGGAACACCATTAGCCACATCCAGCCCTTCTCCTTCCTGGACCTCGAGAGTCTCCGATCCTTGCACCTTGACAGCAACCGGCTACCCAGCCTTGGGGAGGACACACTCCGGGGCCTGGTCAACCTGCAGCACCTTATTGTGAACAATAACCAGCTGGGTGGCATCGCTGACGATGCCTTTGAGGACTTCCTGCTGACATTAGAGGATCTGGACCTATCCTACAACAACCTCCACGGACTGCCGTGGGATTCTGTAAGGCGCATGGTCAACCTCCACCAGCTGAGCCTGGACCACAATCTGCTGGACCACATTGCCGAGGGTACCTTTGCAGACCTTCAGAAACTGGCCCGCCTGGACCTCACGTCCAATCGGCTGCAGAAGCTGCCTCCGGACCCCATCTTTGCTCGCTCCCAGGCCTCCTTGCTGACTGCCACGCCCTTTGCCCCACCCCTGTCCTTTAGTTTTGGGGGAAACCCACTGCACTGCAATTGTGAGCTTCTCTGGCTGAGGAGGCTGGAGAGGGATGACGACCTGGAGACCTGTGGTTCCCCTGGAGGCCTCAAGGGGCGCTATTTTTGGCATATTCGTGAGGAAGAGTTTGTGTGTGAGCCACCTCTCATCACGCAACACACACACAAGCTTCTGGTTCTGGAGGGCCAGGCAGCCACTCTCAAGTGCAAGGCCATTGGGGACCCTAGCCCCTTGATCCACTGGGTGGCCCCTGATGACCGCCTTGTGGGAAACTCTTCCAGGACTGCCGTATATGACAATGGCACCCTGGACATTCTTATTACCACCTCTCAGGACAGCGGAGCCTTCACCTGCATTGCAGCGAACGCTGCAGGAGAGGCCACGGCCACAGTGGAGGTCTCCATTGTCCAGCTCCCACACCTCAGCAACAGCACTAGCCGGATGGCACCCCCCAAGTCTCGCCTTTCAGACATCACAGGTTCCAGCAAGACCAGCCGGGGAGGGGGAGGCAGTGGGGGTGGGGAGCCTCCCAAAAGCACCCAGGAGAGGGCTGTTCTTGTGTCAGATGTGACCACCACATCTGCCTTGGTCAAGTGGTCCGTCAGCAAGTCAGCTCCCCGAGTGAAGATGTATCAGCTGCAGTACAACTGCTCTGACGACGAGGTACTGATTTACAGGTGAGCCAGTGGCCACAGTGTGGCCAGGTGGGACGGGAGCATGGTGGGGACAGGGGTGGGTGCACCGTGTACACCTGCTTCCGTTTTCCTTCTCTCCAGCCTGTGGGGGATCCTGGGTCACCTGTGCCTCTGATACAGGTAAGGGGCTCCCACCTGGATGGACTAGGTGACTATGTCTTGCAGACGGGAACAGGGGCGTGTTAGTTATATTGCTAGACACTCTGAATGCTTTGCCAGGAGAGCAGGGCAAGAGCTGAGCCACTGAGAAGTACAGTAGCTGAAGAATCTGTCTCCTAGCAAGTAGTTTATTCAAAGAAAATCAGTGTGTATGTGTGCGTGCGTGTGTGTGTGTGTGTGTGTGTGTGTGTGTGTGTGTGTTAGAGAGAGGTGTGGGGAGAGAGAGGGAGAAATGTGTGTGAGAGTGGTGGGGCTACCTCAAATCATTGAGAACTTAATACAGGCTGAGCTGGATCAAAGCCCCCATAAATGCCCCATATATTCAGTTTCTTACTTCCTTAAATTCTATTTTCCTCCGGCTTGGGTCCTGTTTCAGGTTACCTCTTTTCTCTAGAGATTTCTGCCATTTTTCTTTGCAGTCCTAGAGAGAAAAGAGCCCTCTTGCTGGCCCAGTTCCGGTTCCCTGAAACTGGCTCATAGGGTCTGTCCAGGTCTTCCAGAGTCTCATCCTGTCTACCACCCCTCTGGACACCAACCTCCTTATGGAAAAAGCATCAAGGATGCAGACTTTGTAAAGTGGCTGAGAAGGTCAAGGGAGGCTAACAATACAAAGGCAATAGAATTATATATCTCAGCCACATATTGATGTAATGATAAATAAAATTGGTGTAACCTCAGCAGTCTGGAGGCAAAGGCAGGAAGATCACAAGTCCTAGGCTAGCCTGGGCTACATGATGAGTTCCAGGCCAGTCAAAGCTTCATAGCAAGACCCTGTCTCAAAAAAGCAAACAGCAACAAAAAGGAAGCCAAAGACCAGCACCAGAAGCTGCAGGGATGGTCTCAGAGGAACTCTTTCCCACACTGGCCTCAGTTTCAGTGAGATGGAGGGATGTGACATGACCCCTACTGCTCAGGGACTGTGTGGTGCTAGATGAAATCCTGGTTCACTTTGTGCTCACACAGTGGAGCTTGAGATGGAGCCACAGCCTCATCAGATGACTCCAGAGGCCACAGTCTAAGAATCTTAGTCCCTTCACGGAGGACTCCAGGTTGACCAATTTCTAGACGGAAGAAGCCAGTGTGTCTTTGAGGGCTATTGTACAATGGAAACCACAACAGAGCTGAGAACACCCTTACCTGGTGTGTGCACTTGTGTGTGTGTGTGTGTGTGTGTTTGTGTGTGATTGTAGAACATCAGGTGAGGAATCTGTGGAGAGGGCAGTAAGATCTGCATCCCCCACCGTGCAGCTCTACCAGCACCCTGCTTTATATCAGACTACGACTGGTCCATCTCCGCCATCATTTCATCTTCATCCTTTCCACTCAGGACCTGAGCTGCTTGGCTGCTTTAATTCTCATGGCATTAAAGTTTCTTTTGTTGATTTAACAGTTAGCCTTCAGTCACTGGAATTTTCGGTGGCTTCTCATTTTTCAGTAATAAAAGTAACACTATGATGGATTTTTTTGTACCAAAATAAAAATACATTTGGTGAAATGCCAAAGATTCTCTCAGCAGATTCTCCTCAGGGTTGAATTACTGGATTAACAAGTCAGTTACAATGGTGGCTTGCTGTATTTGAATATTTATCTCCTCTCATAGGTGGCACGTGACAGTGTTTCTCTTGGTCACAGTTCTCCCAATCCTGATTGTGCAATGTCTTCTTCCCTTTGTCAGTTGCCGAGGTGGAGCGCAGACCTTGTTTATTTATGTCTCCTCCCTAGATTGTGAGGCTGACCTTTGACCTTTGGGAAACAAGTGCACACTCTTTACACGTGGACTTGTCACGTGGCTTTGACTTGGATAAAAAGTCTCCACCTGTGTGACTGGCTTGGGCATGGGTTGATGCAAGACATGGCTGAGGGGTGCAGAGACAAGCTGGGCACACAGGCAGCAGAATGGCCACATCACTGTTAAAAGTTGTCCCCTCTTACCCTCACCAGGGTCTCATAAATACCTAGAGAAACACCAGGGCTTGGGGCTGAGCTCCTGTTTTTCCTCAAGGGAAAATTCAGATTTATTCTCTAGGCTGACTGGGAATCTGGAGAGTAAAAATAGAATGAAAGCGTTTAGCCAGGGGTGGTCGTGTGGGGCTTCAACACTAGTGCCTCGGGAGGCGGGTTTGGGCAGCTCTCTGGGAGTGGAAGGCCAGTCTGCTGTACGCAGTGAGGCCTAGGTCTGTCTAAGTGTCTTAGTCAGTGTTTTATTGATGTGCAGAGACACCATGGCCATGGTAACTCTTCTAAGAGAAAGCATTTAATTGGACTGGCTTCCAGTTTCAGAGGGTTAGTCCATGATCAGCACTGTGGGCACAGAGGCTTGCAGGCAGACATGGCACTGGAGAAGGAGCTGAGAGTTCTCTAACCAGATTGGCAGAGAGCAGGAAGAGGAAGGGAGACTGGACCTGGCTTGAACTTTTGAAACCTCAAGCCCACCCCAAGACACTTCCTCCAACAAGGTCTTACATATTCCAGAAGGTTACACCTCCTAACCCTTCTCAAGTAGTACCATGCCCTAATGACTAAGCTCTTAAATATATAAGCCTATGGGGGAATTCCTATACAAACCACCACACTAGGCTACTTAGTAAAACCCTGTTTCAAAAAACAAAAACAAAACAAAACACATACAAAAATACTAGACTAAAAAGGACTCATCAGAAATTTAAAAAATTTACAACTGCAGTGGTCAAGGGTAACCCCTTAAGACTGTTCATGAAGACTAAATAGGATACCATGAGAAAAATGCTTCACAAAGAATCTGAAGAGACAGGTCTGTTAGTAAGGTGCTTGCTTCACAAAAAGGAGGACCTGAGTTCAAATCTCCAAAATTCATGTAAAAGCCATGCATGATGGCTCCTGTCTGTAACCCAGCACTAGGATTTGGAGCTAGGGTGATCCTTGGAGCATGCGCTAAACAGCTCAGTCCTGTTGAGGAGCTCCAGGTCTGTCTCTGGCTGTCTGTCTATCTGTCTATCTATCTATCTATCTATCTATCTATCTATCTATCTATCTATTTGTCTATCATCTATCTATCTATCTATCACCAGAGTCCTAAGCAGAAGGACCATCCAATCTTAGACCTAAATCTCCAGACCATGAACCCCAGGAAACCCGTTTTCTTTAGAGCACTATTCTCTTTAGGTGTTTCTTCACTACCACAGGAAGCTGCAGTGATATGCTATAATGTGAATCCCAGCTCCTGCCTACAGTTCCCATGCTTGGCCTCTGTGGGTGTACTGAAGTCTATAGTAGCCAAGAAAGATCCCAAGAGAGACCCTGAACTTTTTGAAAAAATGCATCTTCCCCCTGAAAAGGAAGAAACAGCAGTGGGTTACAGGGTGACTCAGCTGTGTTCATGTCTCAACAAGAACAGACTCGAGGCAGTGTCGGGAGACCTGGACTAGAAACATCAACGAGGATCACGCGCAGTGCAGTCTCCAGAAAGCATCTACCTGTCCATCATTAATCTACTTGTTATCTACCATCTAGAGAGAGATAACATGTACCATCTGTTATTATCTACCAACCCACCTATCATCTATCATTGTCTGCCTACAGTTATCCATCATTGTCTATCTGCCTATCATCGGTCTTGATCGTGTATCTCTTACAAGGAGTGCATTATAATTACAGCCACACAAATCCAAGGTGAGGGGACTGGGCTTGCTTGGAATTAAAGTTGTTGCTCACAAAGACATTGTAGCCATATAATGACAGGGTGTTAGCAGACTCCATAGCTCTCTGCTGTGTCAGAGAAACACTGCTCAGGCTAGGAGAGGTTGTGATTCTATGGAGCTAGTCGGGCTGGCCAGAGCACAGCTGTACTGTGCTCAATCCAGGATGGCTCAGCATAGAAATGAGATTCTAGAAGCTTGCGTGAGATAAGGTGAAATTGACCCTGAAGATGAAAGGACTTCCAAAGAAATTCCAGCTCCTCTGATCTATTTAAAGAATTTTTGAGTAGAAGAGAGGAGTATACACAGGTACACATATAAGCATATGTGCACACACACTCCCACACAGAGAGAGCACACATACATAGGTACACATATAAGCATATGTGCACACACACTCCCACACAGAGAGAGCACACATACATAGGTACACATATAAGCATATGTGCACACACACTCCCACACAGAGAGAGCACACATACATAGGTATACATGTAAGCATATGCACACGCACTCCCACACAGAGAGAAGCAGGCACTAGCCTATCACAAGAGTAAAATCCCACCAGCTCTATCCTGCACTCACGGCCTCCCTGGCTGTGGAGGAGCCGGCTTTGCTCTCTTTTCTCCTCCAGCATCTGTAGTCACTTCCCCACCATGGTCACTATTAAGTCTGATCCATACAGGCTGCAGATTCCAGACTTGATCAATAGAAGGAAAAGAGGCCTCAGAGCCGCCCTGTGGCAGCCTTACCACCAGCCACCATGATCTTCTGGGGCTCCAGGAGGACACAGCTAAGTCCCTCCCAGGGATGCTGGAGAGGCAGGAGTAGGGATTCCTGACTAAGGGGACACCATCTTCAAAGCCTGTGTCTCTTCTTAAGCAGGACAGAATGGCTTCCATTGCCTGGATTTACTGTGCAGGGCCCTGTGGCCTGATGTTAGCCCCTCTCTGGCATCTCTGCTGCAGAGCCTGAGGTCAAAGCCACTGAGCATGGAGGAGGCTCAGAGCATCTAGCCTCACCTGAGCCCATGTCACTCACAGGTACCCAAAGGCTCCCCAAGGTTTCACCAAACCCCAAGGTCGCTGTGAGCAATGTCTAATGCATGAGGTGGAAAGCCACATTCCAGAATTAATGCGAAGATAAGGA